GTTTGCAGGCTTTCTTGGCTCTCAGCACAGGGAAGGTCCAGCCCCTCGAAGAAGGAATTGTGGCTGTTTTCTGCACAGAGGCCGTACTCTGCCATCCCTGTAGTAACCTTGTCCTCTACCCAGCAGGGAAGCAGTACACAGCCTTTCAACAGTCCGTGCTCTGCAGGATCGTGTAATTTTTCTTAAAAGGGCAAGATAGGTGCCAAAGTTTGGAAGGCTGACAGCATGGCACTGCAGGCCGGTTACTGCTCAGCACCACTGGGGTGCTCAGCACCTCCAGGGCTGTGCTCGGGGCTAAGGAACAATAATGCTGAAGTGTGGCTCAGAGGGGAAGCAGGGCTGCCTCCCTGCTCGAGCTGGCAGTCCTCAAGGAGCCATAGGAGAGGAAATGCTTATCTGGTGAGTTAGCAGAATGCCTAATGGGAAGGGAAAGCGATCATCTGATTAGCATTGGCACGTTATCCTCCAGCAGCAGGTTGCCTCAGGCAGTGGGCACGGAGCTGTTCATCCCGCACGGGTTTCGTGTTGTTCTGCTCCGTTTAGCTTCTGCTTTGTTTTGCTTCACTTATTTCACATTTGGAGGAAGATATAATCAATAAATGTTGAGTACAAGTTGTTCAGCAGAGGGCTGCACTGCTGCAAAAGGCTGTTTTTATTCTTTGTGGGCATGCATAGCTGCACACCTGTCTGCCTGTGCTGCTAGCATGTTTGCTCCTAAGGATGCACAGCTTTTGGTGTCAATGGGAATGCTCTCACTGCTGCTGGATATTTTTTATTTTTTTAAGAGCTGAATCCCTACTGTGCAGATCTCCAGATGTGGCTGCTGCTGCTGAAGCCACACAAGTAGCAGCACCAGCAACCCAGCACTTGCTGGTCAAAGTGCTGTGGGTGGCAGATCCATTAGTACAGCATGGAAAATGGCAAGCGTGGGTTTATGTCACTCAGCCACCGTGCTCCAAGTTGCCTTTCCTTACGTGAGGAATCCAGTAGGCTTTCTTCTGATTACTCAAAAAAAAAAAACCAACAAACCTCTTTAAAGGACAAGCAAAATGTTGCCTGAAATGCTGGTTTGCTGCTTGCAGCCATTCCCAAATCAAGCACACCCATTCTTTTTCTGTTAGTTATAGATGAAACTAGAAATGGGAAACTTGCCTCTCCACCTTCCTTGAGTGCCCTGGTGTAGAAATTACCGCGCAGTGAGCAAACAGCCCAGCAGTGCAGTAATGCTAGATGTGGGCCTTTTCTCTAAGAGCAGTTGCTGAGTGGTTGAAGTAAATCAGAGCTCTTCCTTGTTTGCCAGAGGAAAGCGTACGTCGGGAAGAGTTAATGCACAGGTGTTTATCTGCCTTTCTTGGACTGTTCACCGTGCAATGGGGATGATCTGTGATGCTATTGATTCTCCAGCATGTACTGGAATGGCAGCAGGGAGAGCCCTCTTAGTTCAAAGACTTCCTGGGTTTGGGGCATAATAGCAGGTTAGTAGAGGCATCTGCATGGCTCTGGTCCCCCTTGCTTAAAGTAGGCCCTATAAAGGCAGGTTGCTTGGTCTTGTCCAGTTGAACACTGAGTATTTCCAAGAATGAGGACTCCACAAGTGCCTTAACTCCCCCCTAACTCAGGATGCCTCCTTGTTGTTACAGGATTGCTAGCAGAGGAAACAAAGCTGTTTAGCAAATACTGGCACCTCTGTGACACTTCTGCGTCAGTGCTGCAGTGGTCCAAACTTCTTCAGGACTGAAGGCAAACAGATGTTTTCATCTCATGCCTTCAGTGAGATCAGTGATGCCAAGATAAGCCATGCTGGAATCCAATATCCAGTGTATAACCTGGTAGGAACATAACTAAAATAGCTCCTATTTTCTGAAGTGGTTGCAGAGGAATTTTATGGGGACCAAGCACAAAAAGGAAGCTTCTTCTGACCTTGTAAAATCTCCCCTGGGTTACCGTTGCTGGATGCTTTGAATTTGCATGTGTTTTTTTTTTCTGAGTTTTATTGGAACTATGAAAAAAAATTAAAATAGTTGTCAGGTATCTGTGACAGTTCAATCAAGTAGGAAGCTGCCATCGTGTATTGTGCTAAAACAATGACAAAAAATAGTGCTAGGTCATTGCGTTACAGCTTACAGACAACATGCGGATTGCTTCGCTGAAAGGTAGGATTCAAAGAAACTCTGATACTGTTTCCAAAGATCTCATTAATCAAGACGATGTTTGTCTGTTAATGTTTCTGCGTCGTCCTTTCATTAAAATAATCAGAGTGAAACTCCTCTGTACAGCTTCAGTCCCTCCCTCCAGCAGTAAGTGCATTAAGCCATAATTTTGAAAACAGATCAGTGATGTGGGCTGCCTGGGCTGAGGAGCTGTACATGAGGCTGATTTCCAGAGAGAAGTTGATCATACGCTTTCTGCAAACCTTGTCCATTTAAGCTGAAATACTGACTTCTATAGCTTTTATTTCCCTTTCCACTGGTGAATCTTTTAAATTGGAAATGAGTTACTTCTTTTAATCTGACCGAATATTGCCGTTCAGTTGCAGCTGCTGTCTGTGGAGGCGAGCTGTAGTGCTGCTGGCATTTGTCACGCAAGCGTGCGCCGCAGCACAGAACGGGTGCTGGAAATGTTGGTGCCCACCCTCTCTTTTAGTGTTGACGGGAGTCGAGCTTCCTATAATTAATTTGCATGTGGAAAACTGCCTCTCTGCCAAGAGATAAAGCAAATGATTCCAAGTTAGCACAATTATGTCATAAAGTGTATTTATCCAGACGCCTGACTCTTCCAAAATAGGTTTCTCCGTAGCGCACACCCAGCGCTGTGTCCCTTTTGTGGTTTGCGCGCCGTGGCTGCGGTAACTGACAGCTGAAAACATCCCTGAGAGGCTGTCAGATGTGCTGTCTGCATAACTGGTGATAATTTAACCATTCTTCAGCTTCACCTTTCAAACTGCTGGGATAATGCTCGTTATTGGCAACAGTGGGTGGAATGAGTGATGTGGGTGCCAAAGGGCCGTGGTGCCGGCAGGAATATTAACCTTACATCAAACCCAGCACCACGGTGGTGCCAGGCCAGAGCGTAAGGCAGGACCTTGCAAACCATCCCGTGCCTGCCTGGACCTCGCTCACAGGACTGTTCCCAGCACCTGAGAGGAAGAAGGAGCAGTAGGGAGGGGCTCCTCTAACTTAAAAGCAGGAAGGAGTGATAGAGACTGAACAAGCGACGTGTGAGATGGCTGCGTGCTCTGCTGAGCACATTCCCAGTTGTCTTGCAGCCTTGCCACGCTGCAGAGGCTGGTAAAGAGCAGGGGATAGCTCCTCTCCCATCTGGCTGCTCTTGTTAAAATCCTTCGGTGATGGCTAAGCCTTGCGCTTGCTGTATTTTGTAGCATTTGCAGGGCTGACATTTGAAATATCCTTGATTTAGAGCCAGCTTGCGGCATTATTTCCTGCAGCAGATAGTTCCCGGTTGCAGAAGGGACCGCGCTGCCTGCATTTTGGCAGCTCCTAGCACCCAAGGTGAGCTGAGGGGCAGAAGGTGTCCGACTCCAGCCTGTGTTACAAAGTGAACCACAGTATTGGGAACTGTTGCTCCTGAATTGCGAGGACATTTTTGGATGGCTGGTACAGTCAACGTGCGGGCTGTTAACTTCCATGGCTTTTGGTCCTTCCAGATGCCACTGCCATGTATCCTGCTGCCTTCATTGACTGCCTTCCAACACAGTTGCTCTGGCGACAGGCTTGGCAAACTCCGTTTTCATAATTAGGGCCTAGATTATCACAAGTTTTACATGCCCTTGAAGGTACGCGGCTTTGGTTTCTTCGCTGTGTTACACTGAGATGATGCAAAAAGAGCAAACAGCGCTGAAATGTGGGGCAGAAATCTAACTCTAGCTACCTCTGTGTGAAAAACCTTTAGGGAAGGGCACTGCCAATTTTTCTTATTTTTTTTATTTTTTGCAATTACGTGGAGCTTCTCAGCAGGGAGTCAGCTAACAATATCCAGAGCAACCCAGCGAGCAAGAAGCATAAAGCCAGGAGCTAAGCAAAAGACAGAGATTTCATTATAAATTAGTGTTGGAAATTAGAGCCAGGCGGTGAAATAACCCCAATTAAAATTCAGAGAGCAAAGAAGAGAAAGCTTACCTAGTGACCCCTGCTTGCTGCACAGGGTTAGAGACGAAGCTGTGCTACTTTGGTATTCTAGCAGAACTTGTGCTTCGCTGAAATCCTCAGGAATTTAATGGAAAACCGGGGGCCTGATCCTTAATGGATGAAAAGCAGCTTAACCAAACCAGCACCAAGGCGGCTAAACTGGTCTATGGGATCCATACTCATGGTGCCAATGTGGACAGAAAAATAAAATGAAATGGCTCTTATTTTCTGGTAAGCCTCTGTGCTGATCCGAATGCATCTGTTCGGTGGCTCTGAGCTGCTTAGGAGTGGAGGCAGCGCTCTTGAAATTAACTCCTGGGTGAGAGAAACAGATGCGTAATAAATCAGATCATTACAAGATGATTTTTTTGTGGTGATTGTTTGTCAAATTGCTTTCGATCAATTTGTTTTACCCATACAAAACTAAATTGTTCCCAGTTCAGATTTCTAACGAACGTTAAAAAGGTAAAATACCAAACCAGCAAAGAATTAATACTGGAATTCTACTGCAAGAGCTCCCTAGAAACAAATTCAAAGGCAGACAAATAAAACAAGAGATTAAAATATACAAAATACTGCAATTTACAAAAAAAATCACTGAATTATTGATACTGCATAGAAGAGATGTCACAGCAGTGCTTCTAATCAGCTTGATTAAAAAAACACACTATCTTTTTTTTCCCCCTTCTTTGATGTCAAAAAGTGTATTGTAAACTTAAAAAGATGTATGTAGTTCAAATAGATTGATCTGGAAAGTTCAAAGATACTGTAATTTTCCAAGTATTTATACTTTATCCCATGTGGTCAAAGTATGTTGTGTGTATACACAGTGTAATCCTTTTAATACTCTTGCAGGACCGCAAACAGAGACAGCTCTTGTACAGAGTGAAAAAAATTAGGAGCCTCTATGGAACAGCTCCGTGCTGACCTTCCTTGTGCTGTGTCCGTACCCAACGCAATCAATGCAGTAAGTGCCTCACTCGCAGGAGTGCTTTGCTCTCCCCAGCCGATTATTTTGGTATAAATTTACATGCAGCCTTTGTGAGCTGCCTGATAATTGCGGCACCAGCTGGAAAATTGGAGCTGGAGGGCAGGCTCTGGACCCCAGCTCTTGGAGCGAGGCTGACGTCCTCGCTGCCAGCGAGGTGCACGGGGCTTGTGGTGGTGGTTTTGGTGAGGGATGCACCATCCCGTCGCCCTCACTGGGTGAATGTGTTTGGGCAGAGCTTCCTTCACAGGAGGCTGATAGCAAGGGCCAAGGTTTTCCACATATTAGGTGCTATATAACACAGAGAAGCTTTTTGCCCTGGCAGGGAGTTCTTGCCTGTGCTTCTGGCTGGCGGAGCAGCGCTTGCAACTTCTGGTTGTGGTGAGTGATGGTTATAGGCGCTGCTGGGGCAAGGACTTCTTGAACTGACTCTCCTGCTGTGAGTGCTAGATGTGCCAGGGGTTGGAACCCCTGCCCTAAAAGCTCATTTAAGTAAATGAAATGGAGAAAATACCATCATTCCCCTTTTGCGGAAGAAAAAATCACTTGTAGACTAGAGGAGTACTTTAAGGCCCAGTGAAGTAGATGGAAAGGCAGCATTAAGTCGTGGCAGGTTTTGACAAGTTGCTTAGGGATTTTGTGTCTTTGCAAAGGGCTGACTGATCTCAACACTGTCAAGAAGAGATTCAGAGCCCTGCCTCTAGTAAAGACAAAGCTGAATTTAAGGACTAGTTTTAAGGATTAAAATCTTACAGATTTTTCTCTTCATTATATGTAATTCAAGGCAGAATTTATTTAGATTTTTTTTTTTCTCACAAGAAATGTCATGAGCAAAATCAGATACTTGGGTTCTTCATCTTTTTATGAAAGCTCTCAATTTATTTTGGCATTTCTGTAGACCAGTGGCCTGTGGACGAGCCTGCAGAACGGGCCTTGCTCGCTCAAGGTCTGCAGCAGGGAATAAACCCAACTGGCGTAATTGGAGCTCCATCTCTTTACACCAGCTGAAAGATGTGACCCTCCGATCTTTGATTACTCTGGCGAAGCAGGATGCTGTAAGGCAGGGGTTTTTCAGTGGTCCTTTATCTGCTTGAATTGCCTGGCCAGCTTCAAGATACAGAGGCTGTAAACAAAGGGAAATTGGGACGGCAAACCGATCAATTACAGAATATTGAAAAGATCAAGGAAGTGGCAGCGGTGCTGCTAAAGACAATATGGAAAAGCCTTTTTCATCCAATAACATCGTTCTCGTGACAAAGGTTATAACAAGATGGAAAATGGCACAAGGTGAATGCATTCTGGTAGCAATGATTGCTGTGTGAATTGGGACTGGGTCGTACTTCACCCACCCTGCCCGTCTTCCCTAGATGCTGTATCCCAGGCAACCCAGGCAGAAGGTGTTATATTTATTGTGTCCCCGTTGCTTTTTATCTCTCCTAGCGAAACCCAACATTAAATTCTCTCTCCAGCCTCCACTCTCTTAAACAAGCAGGAGCACGTGGCAGCATTGCATCCCCCCAGTTTCCTAGTTAGACCAGCAGAATCTATTTCTTCCTTTCCTGTTTGAGAAAGTCTGTGTGGCTGGTCTCTATTTTCTTGCCCAAATTGCCAAAAAAAAAAAAAAAAAAAAAAGGCCTTGTGGTTAAAAATACATACAAATAAAGTGTCAGTCCATTGCGAGAGTCCTAGGTTCAGCTCATGAAATTCTTTCTCTTTTTTTTTTTTTTTTTTCTGCCTTGAAAAGGTTTCTTTGAGCCATTGAAAAGGCTTTTTACATCCCAGAGGTTGTTAGCAGCAAAAGGAGGTGTGGAGGGAGAATCCAGCTTTGGCAGTAACAGGATCAAACTTGCCAGGTCATACTCGTATTATTTCTGATACGTTAATGGATGTTAAGGTCATCTGGATAAGATCAGAGCTGGTAACCGGCAGCGAGAAAGTGACAGCTTCTTACAGCTGTCCTTGAATGGAGCTTGTGGTGCAGCTATTCTCTCTCTGTGCAGTGTGTCAGCATAAACCACTGCCTGCAGGCTGTTGTGGTGGCAAATTTCACCTCCGAGGTGAGAGGTTGGAGCGCTGTAACCCAGCAGGCAGCTCAGCACCAAGCAGCCGCTCGCCTGCTCTCCCCATGCGGGATGGGGGAGAGAATTGGAAAGTGTGAGAACTCACAGGCTGAGAGAAGGACAGGTTACTAGGAAAAGCAACAGCTGCGTGCACAGCAAAGCAAAACTAAACAAGGAATTCATTCACTGCTTGCCGTCAGCTGGCAGATTTTCAGCCACATCCAGGAAAGCAGGACTCAGCACTTGTAATGGTATCTCAGGCGGGCAAATGCCATCACTCTGAACATCCCCCCCCTTCCTCCTCCTTTTCCCCAGATTTTATTACTGAGCATGACACCATATGGTATGGTCCTGATAGGGTCCCATGAAGGCTCCTGTTTCTTCCAGGCTGTTTCTTGCCCCCAAGACACGCTATCCCTAGTGAAATCGAGGCTTTATTTCTTTTTTTCCAGCATTCACTGACAGGTACCTGATGCCATTGCCTGTAAAGGGAATGGCAAAAAGAAAGGAAGTGTCATCCAGAGTCAGAAACAGCTCTGTCTCCTCTGAGAAGGGATTCTGGTCTTCAGGGCAGGACTGTGAGACCCAGCTGAAGTCCCAGTCTAAGCGCTAACACGAGCTTGTGAGCTGCTTGCTGCCTCAAATCTCTGGTCACTGCTCAGTTCCAGTGGGCTGAGGGTGGAAGTGGAAATGCTTGCAGCCTGCAACTGCAGCTTGTAATCCTGGCCTGGAGGAGCTTAGCTGCTGCTGATTGAAGATCACGTGCAAGCAGATAAGCCAGAAGAGGATCACACATTCACAAAGCCTGAGAAATCCTGCTCTAATCCATCAGGGCTCCAAGAAGTAAAGCTGAGTGTAGCAGTTTGCTCTTCAGCATAAAATTCCAATTCCCTTTTGTTTTGCCTGGTATTCTCCTTGGTGGATTCCTCCACACTCCTCAGCACACCAAGGGTCAGGACTTCGTTGCTCCTTGGCACTTATCTTAGCCTAGAAGAACACAGAGGGTCCTTGCCACATGCCTAGGGGAGTCCTCGTAAGGCAGCTGGGGAAGAAAGAAATTCCCTGCTCTGGTGATAAGAAATGCCTCCTCCTGTGCAACTTCTGTGATCTTCTTCATCCTTACCAGTGCCAGGTTATTCCGTTCCCCTCACTGTGGATGATCAGCTTGTAGCTCAAAAATCAGGGCTGCCATTTCAGAGGCCTTTAAAAGCTCATCCTTTCGTTTTCCCTCGTTTTGCAGCGAGGCCAAGACGACAGCTTGTTAGCGTTTAAATGAGCCCATCCATATTTTGCCATGAAATTCTCAGTCATTTAAGCCTGGTGTCTGGTCACTGTAATGTTATTATCTGCTCTCTATTTCTAGGCTTTGCTTTTAAACCTAACTAGAGTGTAACACCATTATATGGTCAGAGGCTCCCAACAGAGAGAGAATTGGGAGCCCAATCTGCCATTTCTGGGGGAGGGTTGGTTGGTTGGTTGGTTTTGGGATTGCTCCCAGAGAGCAAGGCTCAGGAGGAGGATTCTGCACCATTTAGGTGAAAATAAGGGATATCAGAAGTAATCTGGGGCAGGGTTTGTGTATGGTATTATATGCAACGTTTCTCTGGAGCAGGGTTTGTGTGTTGTGGTCTGTGCAATATTTCTGATGCTTCCCTAAGGAGAAGCTGCAGAACAGCTTGTCTGTCAAGCGCTGCCTAACGGGACGTGCTGCCACTCTAGCCAGAAAGGATATGCCCTAGCCACCTTGTCCTGGGAGGCCGGCTCTAAGTCCACTGCAAACACAGACACGGGTTGCAGTGCTGTTGGCACCTGCTGACCCACCACAGCCTGATGCTGCTGACTCCTTGCCTGCCAACTAAAAATTACAAGTCATTATCCTTCTGGCTCTAATCATTCAGCTTCAGGATGCACAGGGCCTTTGCATTTCGCTCTTGGGCAGGCCTTCAGGTTGCTGAAGGGAAACTCCAGATCCTGAGTGCAGTGAGGTCCTGGGAAGCCAAAACAGGACCATGTGTGGCTTTGGGATTTTGCTTTTTCCCCTTTTATGTTTTTTTGGGGGGGCTGTTTGCCACTCCTGTTTGCATTAGAGCTTACACCAAACAACACGAATGTCATGAAATGGCCAGCTGATACACAAGCCAAACTGCCGCAGTGATCCTCAGGTTGCATTTTTGTAACTGACTTGAATCCAAAGCTCGCAATTTTTAAATAAACCTACGCTGGCAGAGATCCACGTACAGAGAAGTGTGTCACCAGTCTGCTAAGGGCCCGGCTCTTCCCCCAGCAGCTCTTCTTTGGTCTCCTCCAAGGCTGAGTCAACTGTGGCTTCAGGGCAGGACACGACAGTCCAAAACGAGCTGAAGAAAACTCTCCAGAATATCTCCCCTCCTCTCCATTACCTTAAAAAAATTAAACTTCTGTTTATTCTGAAGGGCTTCTGTTGCTCTCAAGCCGTATCTTCTAATGGGTTTCTTAGAGAAGCATTTTTCTCTATGCAAGTAATTTAAGCCTTACATGCCCTCAAGCCATTTTTTAATTAAAAGAAAAATAGGAAATTCTTGGCCCAAGTAGGGGGCTTATGCTGCTGATTGACTACAGTGAAGAATTCCATAGGAGTGTTGAATTTTGCACTGTCAGATATGAAATCAGCCCTATAAGTATAACCCTGACCTGAGGCTGGGATTTTTAAAATGAGTTTCTTAATAAGAAAGGGAAGAAATAAATTTGACTTTGAATAAGCATAATGCAATTTCCCTTCACACAAATTACTCCTTTATTATAGCACAGATATTCACATTTATCAGTCTAAATGCTTAAGTCGTGTGCGGCTTCATTTTGCCGGACTCAGCTCGGTCCTGCCTAAGAGGGAAAGCATTGCTGGGGCAGCTTAGTTCATACGGGCTCACCCCATCCAAAAGA